GATATTGTCCCTCCTTCCCCGGCAGAGCATCTGGTGGATTCGAACCGTGCACCTCTGGGATTGTAGTTGCAGCTCCTTACCACTAGGCCACCAGAGTTCCCCTGACACAAGTCTTCAGAATGGAATTTATTAATAATCTTAAAGACTGCTTGTGTATGTTTTAGATAGGAGAATGAAGCAGAAATACCACTTTTTAGGTCTCTGTCACATTTTGTTCCACCTACTCGGTCATGGAGGGCAGTTCAGTGATGGGACAGTTAAGAATGTGGGCTCTGGAACCTGCTGACCTCAGCTTTTATCCTGGTTCTGCCACTTCTCCGAAGACTTTGCCTTTGTCTTTGGCTTCCTGCCCCTCCCCCTTGCCTTTGTTTTCAGGTCTATAAATCTGGATAACAGGGAACTTCATCCTTATTGTAAAAAATCAAGTAAATGTTAATTTATGTAAATGTCCTTAGCCCATGTTTACATTACAAGGTTTAACTACATGTTTGCTTGTTTTCTGTTTTGCAGTTGGGCTGGTAACAATTGATTTGGGGCCCTTTGTATGGCTAATTCTTTAATAACCTTCCTGCTTTTCTTGTTGATGTGGTTTCTGCTCTCTGATGCACCGTGGCAGGTTTGCCACCTCTTCTTGGTTTAGAATCTTCTGCTGAAAAACTTAAATATTTACAATAGATGTCATTCATCAACTAGTACTCCTAAAATAGTTTATGTAAACCACAGCCTTGCTGTAAATATTGCCATTTATTTATTTAAAAACTTTGAACAATTTACCAATTTAGTAGGTAAACGAATAAAGCTTCTTAATGTACAAGTTATCCTCCTTGGCTTTCTCTTTATTCTGTTAACTGTGAGCACAGTTTAACTGGGAAGCTACAATTCAAATGTTTTCTTTTGAAATGTCATGGGGAATCAAGTCCATCAACTTAGTGTCCTTAAAAGGATGGCAATTTGTTTCTTTCTTTCTTTTTAATTAAAAAAATTTTTTTTTAAATGTTATTATTTTTGTGTGTCTGTGTACCGTCAAATCAGATCTGACTGGTACAGGAGGAGACTGTCCCTCCTTCCCCGGCAGAGCATCTGGTGGATTCAAACCCTGTGCCTCTGGGATTGTAGTTGCAGCTTCTTGCCACTAGGCCACCAGAGCTCCCCAGCGATTTGTTTCTTAAAGGAGTGAAAGCAGCCTTCCTCATCTAAAGACCCTGGAAAGACGTGGTGGTTTGGAGGCGCTTAACAATGTTAAGATGACCCCATTCCCCAAATTGATTTACAAATTCAGCTCAATCTGTGTCAAAATTTCAGCTAGCTTATTTTCCGAAATAGACAAGCTGAACCTGAAATTTAAGAAACCAAAACAATCTGGAGAAGAGAATAGCAAAGTTGGAAGATTCACATTTCCTTCTTTTAAAATTTACAGCAAAGTTTCTGTGTTACTAGTATAAGGATAGTATTATAGGGATAATAACCATCAGTGGGAATCAGTTGAGAGTCGAGAACTCATTTCTCTGATCAAATACCGTAAGCAAAAATGAACTCTGAATAGAGCAAGACCTTAAAACGAAAAATTCTTCTAACAACAAAACAAAACATTGGTTTATCTCTTCAGGACTTTGGATTGGGCAGTGCTTTCATAGATGTGTCGCCATAACATGGAAATGAAAAATGGAATTTTACTGAGAGTAAAAATTTAAGCTGCAGTGGAGATTGTTCAGAGTGAAGGGGTGCCCTACAGAATGGGAGAAAATTCTTGCCAATCACATACCTGATAATGATCGAGTGATAAACCTGGCTAATTTCTCATTTTCCCTGCCCTTAACTGAATTTACAGTTTATTTCTCTAATCCTTTATTACATTTATGCCATTATTTTATCATTGCAATGAAATTCCAGTATCCTCATAAATTTTTAAATGGATTTATTTAAGTTCTTGGGTCAAACTACTTCCTCTGCCTTCTTCCAACAAAGGAAATACAAAAAAATTATTCTCCACTATATTTAAGGAAAATGAAATGTAAAATATTAGATAAAACATAAGCTTGAAAATTATAGTTTAAAAGATGGAGGAAAATACCCTAAATTCATATCATCTTCAGATAGTTAAAGTAGCTGTGCTTTTAACTGAATCTGTATCTCATCTCTCAGTGTTCTTGTCATTTGAGGTCAATAATAACAAATTCTTTGTGTCACATGTCTCTCTTTTCAGCCAATCAGGAGCCAGGATGATTTTATGTCATAGCTGAGTCTGTTGCTTGGAGAGGAGCTGCAAATAAGACTTGAGCCAGAGGGCCACAGATTAGGGATTTTTAGATATACTGAAGAAAAGAGGGATATGGTTTGATTAGCACTTTTAGAACTGAGTTCTGTCTCTAGAAATGTACAATCCTGTCTTTTTAATTCCAGGTTTTAAAATGTTACTTACTCTTAATACTTCTTGAAAGAATACCCTTGATCACTGCTTCTGTTTTTGATGAAGCAGTTTAATGGGCTATGAAGGAAAGATTATAACATATATTAAAGGAGAAAGAATTTGCTGAAAATGTCTTCGAGGTTTCAGGCCTCATCTTTACCAGTTTTCTTCTCCCCAGGGCCAGTTGATACAGGCTCTGTAACAAATTCCTCTTGTTCACTGAATGAGGTAGACAATATTTCACACCTTTTAAAGAAAATATCAACTGGTATCAATGAGATTAAAGGAATAAAGGCAGCAATTTTGACAGTGGAAGCCAATCTTTTTGATCTAAATGTCAGAGTATCGCAGAATGAAGCAAAAATTTCATCATTGGAGGTTAAAATGAATGAATATTCAGCACCCACATCTGAATGCAACAGAAAGTTTGAAGACTTTGAAGAGGAACTCGATTTTGAATCACAAACAGAGCCTAAAAATGCAAAGATAATTGGCTTTCTTAGAAACATTGAGAAAGGTAACTTTATAGTATCTTCTAGGTGTGTACTTTTAAAAACATCTTTTTTTTTTTCAGTAAAACTTGCTTAGAGATGATTTATGTTTCTATTGATTAACAAAGTATGTTCTTTTCAAACTAATTGTAACATTCCAAAAGTTCACAAGTTGGGCCACCTGTATTTCAGTATTTTGAACCTTGTCAAGTACCCTTCTGAACACAGTAGTGTTTATGCTTGCTAACACATTTGGTTTCTGTCAGTAACTGAGAGCCTAGTATCATCTCCCATCCCTCAAAGAGCTTATGTCAAACATTTTTACAAGCTTTGAAATCCGCGGAATCCTGGAGAGTATCATCTGTCGGTAGCTGTTCCGTTTTGCTGTGCGACATTATTAAACTGTTCAATCAAACTGGTGAGGGGAAACTGCCCAACAGAGTGTTGTCCTTGTGTGTATCCTCCAGAGTCTGACTGTCCTACAGAACGCCTTTTGGATTTGGACCTCTGCTCTGGCTAGCACCAGGTGCTTTGATCTCTGCGCCACTGAAGTAGCTGAGCCCCTTTCACTCTTTGCTGGATGTGTCTGGAGTCTCTCCTTTTTCTTTGCAATTCTAGTATGTTTTTCTGCCTTAAAAGGTGATTGAGAAGGGGTTGTGGGCTGTTGTAGGAGGTGAGAGAGGTTTGGCATGTTTATCCTGCAGGTGGCAGCGGTGATTTTATTTACATGATGGGTTTGTGGGGTAGTCACCTTGATTTTCTGCCTTTTTTATCTCCTGGCTTTACCTCCAATTTAAGAAAATTCCAGAAGGGCCCTACATTACTTTTTCCCCCTCTTGTTGTGTACCGTCGAATCGGATCTGACTGGCACAGGGGGAGATTGCCCCTTCTCCAGCAGAGCATCTGGTGGATTTGAACTACATGCCTTCGGGATGGCAGCATAGCTGCTTGCCACTAGGCCACCAGAGCTCACTGCATTGCCATATTAAACACTGAATATGGTGTTTTTACTCAACAGGATATGCTTATGTCGGTATTTTAAAAACAGTATTGCTGAAACTTTAGCACATTGTTAAGACTTCCAGTTAAGAACCCAAAGAGATCATTTTAGGCTTAATTTCTGGGAAACTTGCATACCAGCATTATTTTTTAAATTCAGTGAAGTTTGAACATTTATATTCTAGGACCTCAGCAAAGGCAATTGCTTTATCGTCTACAGATTGACCCAGTAATGGCAGAAACTCTGCAGATGAGTCAAGGTTGGTAACAGTGTTACATTTTCATTGTAGTCCAGCAGTTTTCAGTTGCCATTTTCACCTCATTAATGTGTCATGTGTCCCTGAGATTCTGCTCTAAAGATCTAGGATTTAGATCTGTGAAATCCTTTAGGTTTTGGAGACAAGATCTGCATTTGCCTCATGTTTGGTGGTTCTGTTTTCCACTTCATTCAGAAACATGGTTTATTTGATGCCATCCTGCCAGGTCTCTGACACATATGAAGCTGCTTGCTCCCTCCCTGTAACTGGGGCAGCTGAGTTCCTAGCCTTCTCTTTTTCCACTCACATCTTGTCCTTAAGCTGAACTGCTTCCAGATCCTCCCTATAGGCCATTAACTTTATCTTTAGTAACCCTAACTTTTAATTTAGACTCTTATCCTCAGGGCAGTGCCACACCCTAGGACCTCTTGGAGTTGTCACTTCATTCCCCTGTGTTTTCTGTCCTCAGCACACTTAAACACATACACTCTCCCTCCTTCCCTCTTTCCCTTTCACTTTCCCTCCCTCCCTCCCTCTCATTCGCTCTTGCTCCTACTTTTACTCATTCACTCACTCACTCAGTCACACACAGCCTGAACTCATTCACAGATGGCTTAATGAGCTTGTTTATCTCCATTGCTTCACCTCCCAGATCCTGCCACATGTCTGCTCAGTGTCTGATAAATGCTGGTTGAACAAGGAAAACTGGAACACCTAAAATCTCAGCTTGAATCCTCCCTGAAACCTCTTCTGCGTCCTTTTGTTCCCCAAGCTTCCACTTTATTGGTTGCTCTGGTCTCCTAAGCCCATCCTGTCATTTTCCTGGATTTTCTTCCCAGTTAAGACTCTGAAGCTTGTGGCTGTATCCTTGACCCTTCCCTGGCCTCTGTCTCAGAGAAGGAAGTGTCCTCCCTGAGGGTCACCCTCCACCCCGATGCCATTTGCTGAACATTGTGGTGTCACCATACTCCTGTAGCTTTTGTCTGTGCTTCTCCTTCTGCATGATAGACATGTTTAGGTACTGTCTCCATCCTGAGCAACTACGCTATCCCATCCTGCTTTCCACAGAAGAGCATTTTCTTTCAGAGTTTGATGAGCAGAGTCTGTGTGTGTTGCATCCACTTCATAAATTGTTGCCCATTTGTTTTCTTTGGTTTTCATTTCTGTCCAAAGTAGATAAAAAGTTTGAAGCATCAGATAGTTCTGTGAGGCATATGCCATCCTTCACTTAACTTGTGTGTTTTGTTTTTTTTTAAACTTCTTTATGTGGTTTTAAAATTCTCAGTTTGTTTCTTCATGCCACACCCCCCCCTTTTTTAAAAAAAAAAAAAAGATTTTGTTTAATGTGTGTACTGCCTTTAAAGAGGGAATGTGATTGTTCTCATTGTTCCTTTGTGGTCTTGGTTTCTCCAGGCTGTTTGTTTTGATCACAATCTCCTAATGTTTTCTTCAGGGGAGGGGGCTCCTTGAGTGGCTTACATTTAAGCATGTGACTGGAAAGATGATTGGTGGTGGTTTGGGTTCATGAGCAGGGGGGTTTTTATTGTTTCAAATTTGATTGTAGATCCTGCCATGAAGAATAATTTGTCTTGGCTCTAGTTTGGGGATCCCCTGATGTCCGTGTCTTTAGACTTTTCCTCTTAGCTTGGTCTCCTCCAAGGAAATGTATTTCAGATAATACCGCAGCTGCCAAAACCCTGGGATCGAAGTAGAAAAAGGGCTGCAGAGGCAGTGCCACACCATTCATCAAGGAATGGTCAGTTACCTCCTCGTCCCTGTACCTCTGCCGATCTTAGCATAGTTGCTGGCTTCCCTCTGTTTTTACTTTTACAAAGCTCTTAAATTAAAGATCTGCTTTTTTTCAAGGGCAAATGTATGAAATTAGGAAAGGTTGTTGGGAGTTTACTCTTCTTTATCTTAATAGATAAATACGTCTGTATTTTGGATTGTTTTGGTGGTAGCACCTCTCCTTCAGAGATTTTACCTGTAGCTTACTCTACAGGAGAGCATGTCTCTAACCTCTCCACGTATCTCCGATACAGAGGGGAGTAGACATGAGAAGATTAATTAAGTTGAGGAAGAACTGACTGCTGCTTCAGTAGACACACTCCTCTAGCTGGTCCTTCTCTTGGTCCTGTCTTCTCCACTCTTTCCAGGATCTTCTGTGCAGCCTCTTCCTCGGCCCTTAGAGGATTTGGTATATTCATTACTAACGTAGGATTTGGCATTTCTTGGATCTGTGGTTGGTTCCTACTCCTCTGTCTGCGGTCCCTTTTGTGAAAATGCTATGATTGTTTCTCCTTTCCTGGTTACTCTTTGTAGGTTTATGACTTTTTCCCTCCTCCCACAATCTAATATTGACATCTTAGTGATGGTTTAGAAGGGAACAAAAGTCAGTGCAGTTATTACCCAGGTTGTATTTATTCTCCCTGCTATCTTGCTTTCACTTGACCTAGGCTGTTGATATTAACCTTACACAGGGCACCAGTGACTTCTTGAGACTGGGAGGAGCCGCTTTCACTGCTTACCTTCCTGAAATCTGTGTGTGGAACACTCTCGTTTCCTCATTTTGTGTCAATTTTTTTGAGCCCTTATGTTCTAGTGTTCCATACTCTGTTCTGCTCACTCCCTTTCATTCTCCTTTATCAGAACTTATGTTGCACTAACCTTGACATTTTAGCTTTACATTGTGTCTTGTTCTCAGCATTAGTTTTCAAACCCCTATTCTTGAAAGATGCAAACTAGTAGAATAGAAGTGCACTGCTTTGACACGGGCAGATAGTGGGAAGGTGGCCAGTGGCCCTCGCACCTGATCCGGGGCTCCACCATGCCTCTCCCTTGCTGCATCGGTGCAGCTGTGAGCGGCCGGGAGGTCATCTAGAATGGGGTATGTGTTGGGATCTGCCTCTTACGCTTTTCTTGTGAGGAGCAGTGTCCACCACTGAAGACATCCATCCATCGTGTACATGTGGTAGGACGCTCATTTCACATTTTGGTTGGCATTGCTTCTCGTTTCCTTCCCTCTTGTGAGGGTCAAATTTAAATTTTCAATTTCCCCCTAAATGTCTGAGAGCGTCATAAACTAATCATGTCTAAAATTGACTTGTCTTGGCCTGCTTCTAAATCTGCTTTTTCTTCTTCCTCCCCGTGTCTGCTCGGGGCCCTCAGCCAGCAGCCCCTCCGGTCCCTCCTCTTCTGTGTCTCTGATCCTCTGTTGCTCTTTTTGGAAATGGTGCTTGACAGTTGTAACTGCCCTAAGCTGCTGTTGCTGATGACGTATGGCGTGTCTGCTCTCCCTCCCACGCATCTTCAGTCAGAACACGGGCTTTGCAGTCTTTTCAAGGGGCTTGGGGTCTTCACAGTCTCACTGTCTCTGCTGGGCAGCAGCCTTTTGACAATGGTATGTAGGACTCCCGTCCATTCTTGGTACTGTTTTCCTGAAGATTCGTATAATCATGTCATGTTGCTACTTAGGAACCTTTCTTGAGTCCTTATCTCTAGACCAATATGCAGTCTTATTTAAGTAGGACATGAAGGAACCTTTATTAATATGCTTCAGCCTTCCCACTCACTCGTTGAGCACAGCACACAAGCCCTTCTAGTCACCCCGCTTTTCTCACTGCTGATCACATTCCTCGTGCCTGATGGCAGCCTTTGGCTCTTAGTACCGCAGATCACAGCAGCCCTTCAGTTTTCTTCTCTCTCTTAGTTCTTGCTCCACGTGCTCCATCCTGGGAAGGGCAGTTCTTCAGAAGTCAATAAGTTGCTTTATAGTCTTCAGCGCCTTTCCCATCCCTTCTTGGAGCCACTTTTTATCCATCCATTTTTCTGCTTTTGCTTCTTTGTATAATCAGCGCACTGCTGTTCTGTAAGTATTTGTTCAGTGAATGACTATTAGTGAATCTTAGTTCCTGATTTCTCAGTTAACATTAAAATAAGTACGATTCTTAGCTTTTTCTCAGTTGATGGCATGTGGATAGGTCATCCATAATTGTCCTAGACTGTAGGTCTTTTCATGTGTTGCTTACCATCTTAATAGGCCTCAAAAAGAATTTTGTAGATGATGTCATCTTATGATTAATCTGCACTGAACTCAGAGTGTTTTCCTTATTATATCATCGTTTAATACTCAGTCATTTAAAAATTCCCTTTCTAAGTAACTCTCTACTTACAGACTGGTAGAAATTGTACTGATTCCATTTTTCATCAGGATACAGTTAGGTGTGTTAGTACTCTGAAAAGTTATCAGAACTCTTTTTTTAATTGAGTTAAATAGTCTGTATGATAAATCTAGCATCATCGTTGTTGTTATTGTTACATACCATCAGCCAGAACCAACTGATACCTGACCCTTCGGTGGGTTTTCAGAGGGAGTCATTTGAATGGTAGAAGTTTGCCCATCTTCTGTGGAGCAACTGGTGGATTCGAACCACAAGCCCTCAGGTTGGCAACACAATTCCTTACCACCAAGCCACCAGAACTCTTATCATTAAGAATCTTAAATTTTCCATGTTTTAGAGAAGTTTCTTATACATACTTAGCCCAAGTGTATATTGTTAATGATATCCTGTAAGATGCCTCCCATCAGCCTTTTGTCCTGTAGGAAGGCAGTGTTAATCAGAATCATTTGATAATGTTCCATATGAAGAAACATACTTGAATTCTCTCAAAAAGTCAGGGCATAGAATTGCAGCCTGTTCTTGAGTAGAACTGATTGTCATTTTTCTTTGAAAATAATCACAAATATATAGAAGAATGATGTTCTTCTCACATTGTGGGATGTTGAGAATGCAAGGTATATTCAGAAGTAAACATTTATGGCCAATTTTTTTGGCTCAGATTACTATGACATGGAATCCATGGTCCATGCAGACACAAGATCATTTATTCTGAAGAAGCCAAAGCTGTCTGAGGAGATAGTAGTGGCACCAAACCACGAGTCGGGAATGAAGACTGCAGATACCCTGCGGGTACTATCAGGACACCTTGTGCAGACACCACG